ATCAAAATAAAACTCCAAAACAGATCAGAAAGTGAAATGTGCGAAGGGAGCCGGCCTGGATGCTATGCAGCGATAAAAGCCATGAATACGAATGGCTGGAGGCTTTGGGAGGCAGGATAATGGAAGAGGGACCTGCTATTCAGATGGCAGCTGCCTGCTCCCCGCTCCCGGGGCTGTCACTCTTCTGCTGCTCACCCCCTTGCCCTGGCCTTGATTCTGGTCTGCGGAGAACTGTGCTGCGCCTGTAGCCTTCATGGTGTTCTCACACTCCAACAGCACAGAGGATAAAAGGCCACTATGTTGAAAGCTTGTGCCTCACTGGGTAACAACAATGCTAACTGTGCTTAAAAATACGTTGCTACTTTTCATATCAATCGCAGCGTTTGCCCTGCTACTCCCCAGTCTCCCGGGAGGTACAAGGGTGAGCACTGTTTAATTAGCTTCGGGAATCTTATGGGCTGTGTTGGACCTTTAATTAAAGGAGCTGTTAGAGCGAACGATGCTTCTGTGTTAGGGAGGGGCGGGCTGGTTCTGCCACGGTCTTGGTAATCTGCAAATGCACCTGTAGACACATTTAAATGGTTAATAGGACTCACTGCTTACTAAATCAAAGTTCAAGATAGTGGTTCCCTAAGTTTGTGCTCAGCACCCTAATGACTATAATGCTTAAATTGTGTATTTTCAATTTCAGAGTTTTCTTATCCAGACCAACCTAGAAAACCCAGGGTTGTAGAACTGGGGTCTCACGTTCAAATGTGTTTGGCTCTCGGGCAGATAAAGAGCGACCGGGCGCTGGGCATGCGCAGCAGTTTCTCAGCGCTGGCTGCAGGTGCTGTGTGAGGAGCTGGGTCACTGAACGCTTCCAAAGTAATGGGAAACCCATATTTTAGCTTAAAATCTGTGTATTTTTAAACAGTGACAATTAAAAAGAAAAATCAATGCTTTCATGAGCAAGTAAAACATCTCGGAGGGTCAAAGTAGGCCTGTGGGCTACAGTTTCACAACATTTAAGGTATAAACACCAAGTTATTCGCAAAGGATTTCTAAAGGGCACTAAATTTATCTGTGTATGCAAAAATCATCCCTCAACAGACAGGCAAGAAAACAGTCAGGAATTTAAATTCTAAACTGCCTCATCAAGTTTCTGAAATCATTTGGGTCTATTTTCCTTCCATTAAAATAGGAGTAATGTGCTAGAGTGTTACCATTTAAATATCTACCGGAGGGCGCCGCAGGTTGGATGCGCCTCCTTTTCCCCTCGGTGGTGCTGCTCTTCTCTCTTAGGTGTGCAAAGACTGGGGATTGTGGAAAAGTGAGTGTTACTTGCGAATGAGACTGGAAGCCCGAGTCCCAGCTCCTTGTGATTCCACAATCAAATAAAAATGTTCTTTAAGGGACTGCCAGAGGAGGCCAGCCCACTGACCCTTTAGGTCCAGGGGTCAAGTCATCCTCTAAACAAACTACTTTTGTAATAGTCACAGGAAGAGGAACTCAGGTTCTCACTTAAAACTCATGCAAAGGAAATGTGTCAAGACATCAGTGACCTTTAACAACTGGAGCAGTGATCACACTTACACTGTTCACTTCGGCATGAGTGAGGCAGACACTCACAGGGCTGCTCAACATCAGGAGTACTCCTAGTTCCCCGGGACTCACATTTCAGTATTTACTAAGCGCCCCTCCACTTGCCATGTCAAGGAAGAAGAGCAGCTTTTGGTGTGTGAGGGCAATGAGTCAGTGCACACAACCACGCCACCCTCTGAGGGACAAGTCAAAGCAAGAAATAAATGGCTTTCTACATTGTAATGCATGTGTCAGTACAGGAAAACAGTGTAAAGTATTCTAGGAGTAAAAGACCTCACTTTGATGCATCATTTTTTCCCAGATATCATTTGCAGTTTTCAAAACCTTCTTGTACATATGTAGATTAGATAGAATTACAATTTTGTCACGAAGTTCTAAGTTGAAATGACATAGAGATATCAATACAGATATTAGGGTGTCAATTTCACTTTAAGTGTGATTCACTTTCTCTACTTTCTTTTCATTAGGTCTCAAATTTCCTGTAGTGTACTAGAAAAAGAGAAAGAAAAAGGGAAAAAAAAGTGATCTACATATACATGAAATATACTGCGAGAAATGGAAAATTTCTCTGCAAAGCTGCCTTATTGTAGCATCCAAATGAGAGAAAGTACAAATGGGTGTCCTTAGCAGACAAAACAGGCCATCATTTAAAACACCAAAGTCAGCAAGAGGACCTTTTAAAAACCGACTAATCATGAGACAGGAACCCATGGCGAACAACAGAACGTTTTTCCAGCAAGGAAAAGTGTCAGAGGATTGATGCTGACTATAGGGCAGCCTTTGTTTGCTAGGCAAAAAGGAGTTTCTGGGCAAAAGGAAACCTAAAATTTACAGTTCAAATTTTATTCATAGCTCTTGAAGCCTTTTGAGGGGAGACACGCTCTCGGCCAAAGGCAAAGCCTGGAACCTCACCCTATTTGTCCTTGAGTCTGGTGCTACCAGGTGAGCCCTGTCCCTCTGTACACCACCCCATCCTCCTCCAACCAAGCGGGCAGATCCCCACTTTCCAATTGTGACTTGCTAGGCATATGCTACCAGCTCTGCTTTTGTACTGAATGAGACAGTCAGAGACTTCTCTGCTCGATACCTACAGCCTTTACATCGGGGGTTCACGGACACAGGACCTGGAACTATCTCAGCGGACCCACTGACCGTGTCTCCTGCACAGTATCTAAACCAAATAATATTTACACACTCTAGCTCCAACCATCTCTTCCCTATTCAAATACTTATTTTAGGGTTTAATATATCATTCATCCTTCTCCTAGAGGCCAGGGACTCGATAACTAATTCTTTAACTTGTCATACTGGATTTAGCATTCTACCGCTGGCTAACTCATAGACTACCGTGTATCCCACACTGTATCAAAGGTATATAACTACAGTTTTAAAAATAAAAACAGCTGCCCGCCAACTGGAGACTGTTGCGTGGCCACTCTTCCCCAGAGACCAGACGGGCAAACATGTCCCAGGAGCCCTGCCTCTCCCCACGGACACAGCCACCGCAGCAAGCGGCACACAGACTTTCTAGAGCCTTTCTTAACACAGCCGCTCCAGCCAGTAACTATCAACAGTGCTTGTCAAGATGAAAAGCCTTTGTCATGCGGCACCCAAATCCTCCATCCACCACGGTGCCAAAACTAAATTCTCCTAGACAGGAGCATCTTTAGTCCTAAAGAGAGTAACACAGGAAGTAGGCCGGAGTCTCTTTTTGTCTAGTACTTGGCCTGGGCATCAAGATCAGCAAGTCTAGAACACAGCCTCCGTGACAAAGTCCAGCTACCATCCTCTTCATCTGATGTTCAGCTCTTAGCAACCACTCTCAGGGACCTGCAGACCTTTCTGGGAGAGGGGGTGTCCTCAAAGCCCTGAGCCGAGCTGATCAGTCCATCCCGGGAAAGACAGGTGTTGACCCCACTGGTTCCCCATTCAGTAGAAGCCAACCTCTTCCCGAATAAAGGTGGGGGAGCTGACGACGCTGCAGGGAGAGCGCAGTAAGGGGAGAGGAAGAAGAAGGGCAGCGGGCTGAAAGCTCATCTTGTCTTTTCAAGAGACCTGTGTCTTCCTAGAGGACTAGAAGACATTAACGTCAAACCTCACAACTCTTTATTTCAAGTTCCTCTCACTTTTTCCATCAGCTCCATTCCAGAGCTCCACTCCACATGGCCTAAAGCACAAGCTTAGACCAAACAACAAGACCTCCAACCTCTCCCAAATTTGTAAATTACCATAAATAAGAATCCAGGTGGAGGGTGGCCCCACACCCTGCCCTGAGGGCCGCAGCTCTTTGTCCTGGGCAGGACGGCCCCGCCTGACCTCAGCAGGCTGCGCAGCCTTGGCCCAACAGCCTCCGCTCTGCTCCTGTCTCTTCTCCTGCCCACTGTGCACCAGGCTCTGACGTGAACATTGCTAAAAAAGACTGATTCACCCTCCAGGAAGTCCCGCAGCCCGGTGACATCAGAATTCTAGGAAAATCAGTGTAGTGGAGTCAGTAATGGGCCACCCAGATTCCCTGATGACGAGTGCCTTGTTGGAGTCTGAAGGCTCCCAGCTGAGAGTCCCTCAGGGGACTGTGCTTGGTCAGGAGCAGCGCCTCACTGGAGGGGGGGGGGGGGCTGGCCCTGGGGGGATGGGCAAGCAACACACAGTGGCTGATGCAGGGAATAGACAGTTTCCCTGCCTTCGCGAGGGTCGGCTCCGCAGGCCACCTGGGCTCCAGCCCAGTGCACCACAGCCACCCTCTGCCTCTGCCCAATTCTGCATCTCTCATTTACCCACCAGGAGTTACTGCTGTCCCTGTCCCAAGAAGCTCCTACATGCCAACCTCAGCGTCTCAGAGAGTAGTTCCTGGAGAACTGGCCTGTGACCCTCAGAAAAGAAGGTTCAAGTCATGGTTCATTATCCCATGCTCAACTTTAGTTTTTGTTTATTTTTGAGACATAGCCTCACTATGTAGTTTAGGCTGCCCTTGAACTCACACAGATCATCCTGCCACAGGCTCCCAAGTGCTAGGATTACAGTCAAATGCCACCATTCCCGGCTGTCCCATGCACCACTTTAAATCCATATAATCCATACAAGGTTACTGACAATCCTTAGTGCTTGTATCAGCCAACTTTCAGCCCTGGAAGTCAGTAAATGCATAAGGGCATGGCCGGCTGTCCACCAGCCCCATTACGATAACTGTACTGAAGAATTTGTGCCATAATTTTAATACATGTAGTCCTCATTTTGCATGCATTCAACGACGATGGGATATTATTTTCATAACTGAATGACATACAAATTCAGCAGCTAGCTCTTCAGTCCACAAGTCACTAGATAAACAACATACGCACATACTAACCCGTGACCAATCGCGCCACTTCTTCCAAAGCCACTGGTGACTGGTCTGTTCATTGCACCGCTATGCAGCATCAGCATGGGACACAGTGACAGGTGCCTCTTGGGGTCTGAGGCGGAGACGGGATAGAAAGTCTGCCTCTGGTTACCACAGACTTCCCACTCAAAAAGCAGAGTCCTGAACAGGAGCAGGGAGTGAGAAGCGTCTTGGGAGAGTGTTCATTCATCCACCACCTTCCCTCAAGCACAGGAAAAGAGGGGGCATTATCAGTCCCCATGTGTTAATTTCTTATTGCTTCTATAACAAATTACCACAAACTTAGAGGCTTAAAGCAACACAAATTTATTATCTTACAGTTTGGAAGTCAGGACCCTAAAACCGATAGCGGAGCTGTGTTCCTTCAGGAGGCTCTGGGAGCGAACCACTGCCTCTCCTTTTCTTGCTTCCAGGGGCTGCCTGCATTCTGTGATTCATGGCTCCTGATACTCAACCTCTGCTTCTGTCATCACATCTTCTGAGATGCTCACCTGCTGGCCTTCCGCTTGCAAGGACTGCATATTTACAGCGGGCCCACCCCGATGATGCAGAGAACTCAATCATCTCAATATCTTTAATGTGATTATATTTGCAAAATCCCTGTGATATGGAAGAAATATACTGTGCTGTATTCACCAGCTTTGGGGATTAGAGAATGGACGTCCTTGGGAGGGTGTGATTTTTCCAACATTACCTCGTCCAGCTTTTTCAAATGAATGCCGATGTCTGGACATTGTCTTGCATGCAGCTGCTGCGAAGACAAAGCTGCCTGCCAACTCTGCATCTGGACCCACGAGAGAGAAAGGAATGGTTACCCCGGAGTTCCTGACCCCGAATCAGCTTCCGCAAAGGCTGCTCAAGAATCTAGGCCCAAGGCACACTCTGCATGAAGCGTACCACTTCCCAGTGGGTTTGGGATACAGTGTATTCATCTCCTCCCTCTCAGACATTCAGAACTCACAACAGCATTCCAGAGACTGAGGCGTCCTGCTCTAAAGGGACCTGCTTAACCCTGAGTTAAGTTAAAGCCACTTTCACACAATATTTCATGGGAAAACTTGTTTCTTCTCTTGAAATAGCTCTCAGGCAAACCGGGAACCTACCTATTGACTCAATATGCAAAGTAGGTGCAGTGACACGTTTTTCAGGTCACTCACTCAGTTCTACCTGGAGACTCATTTCCTGAAGAGCAGTTCTTTTTGTTCCTTTGTCTTCTGTTTTGCTTCTGTTTGGTTTTGGTTTCCCTCTTTCTTCCTTCTCCTTGCCTCTGGCTCTCAAAACTAGTGGGGAAAAAATGACCAGGAAATAACATGTCACCAAAATATTCGTGGGGTTTTACCAAACCAAATACCTGGGTAGATTGCCACATGAAAATGAAAACATTTTCTTCATAGAGCAAAAGGACTGCTGCCATTAAAATGGAGCCTAAGCCCAGCCTTATGCCTGGCGGCCCAGGCCGCAGCCCTGGGTCTCTACCGAGGTGGCATGCTGGGCTCGTCGGTCTTCCTCAGACACCGTCCGAAGGAATGGAGAAGCCAGAACTTCAACAAGGTGAACACTTAATTCTATTTAATTCACTCATTTAATTTTCTTTGGGAATTCCAGAAGAATTCCAATATTCCTAATCAAGAGGCTCTTCATTCATGCTATTTTATAACCGAACCTCCACTACAATCATCAGGTAACTTCAACTACTATTCACTTGAACAATTTTCTTGTGCAAGAGGACCAGCTAACTTGCAGAGCCATGACTAGGCGGTGGACCTCTTTCCTGCACCTGAAATGCCTTTTTCATCCATCCACATTTTCATTATCGTGGTGGCCAGTGGTTACTGCGAGAATCCATACTCTATATGGCAGGCACTATGCCAGGTCTTTGAATTTTGTCCTTATTTAACCTTGACTACAGACTATGCCATACTATTGCCATTTTATGGACAAACAAAACCATATAATGAGTTTTACTGGATTTATTGATACGAATGACCACATTCTATATTTCAGATCTTACACTCAGCCCTTTCCAGTTTTATCATCACAGCATGACTGATTACGTTACCGTTCCTCTTTGTAGATTAAGACACAGAGGCTTACGTATGGTAAGAAATTCTCCTGCAGGCACATAGCTCATTATCGGGAGAGCTAGGATCCAAGCCCATCTTATCTCCTTTCACATCTTCCTTCTCTTGGTTTTCTCTCCAGCCAGCGGAACCCTCTATGTACGTCCAGATCATCCTACACTTGTTACTTGTAATATTTTGCACAATGGTTACTCTCTTCTCACTGGGCATCTCTGGTACTACTTTGCCTCTTTTAGCAAGCTGCTCATGACACATTGTAATTGTAAACTGCTGTAGAACAAATCTTACAGCAACAAAGACCAGTATGAAAATCTGTGTTTGATGGAGAGTTTCCAGGACCCAGCAGATTTCTTGGTTATTTCAGGAAGCATCTATACAATGGTGTTCAGTACAGGTAACTAAACTGAATAGTTTGCTCCTTGGTACTTTAGCAGCTACTGTAGGAGACAGTGATTGTTAGGTTGAGTTCCCTCAAACCTGCTAGTAAGGTCAAGGATGAAAAGGCTTTCTACAAGTCAGAGACATTTATCTAGGGAAGCACCCAGAAGAAAGCAGGTGCTCAAAAAATATATTTTGAATAATAACCAATAAAAAGTCCCACAGACACAGCATTTAAAATTGGTGATGTTCTTCTTCCTGTGTTGGGGACCGGACTGTGTAAGGGTTAAATTGCTGACCACAGTGCTCTCTGGATTCCAGCCTCTGAAGGCAGAGCTGAATCTCACTCAAAGGATTCCCGGGCAATAACTGTCAACTTTAGAGATAAGACAGTTCTCTTAATTGGCAAAATTTACTGATTGGAAAAGTCTTTGTTTTAACTTCCAAGGTCCTGCTCATTATCCCACCTTTACCTCCATTTTCCCCTTCACTTTCCCTCATGCCACCTCAAACTTGTCTGAAACCCAATAAATACTAGATGTCCAGAGAAGTCTTTGTCCTATGCCCAAAAGAGTGCTGACCTTCCTGGACTCCTCCACAAACCATATTTGCATTTTGCTTTTATTTACTCCTTTTCCCTAGACTCATCTCTAAGATCCAGAGTTTGATCAGTCCCCAACATACCTGTACAGTGAATCTTACATATCATTCATCTGGCAGGTTTAAACTCTTCAAACAATGAGCTGACCAATGATAATAATACAATTTTTTTTTTTTTTTTTTTGGTTTTTCTCCGGT